CCCAGCTATTTTTAGAGACGGGGTCTTGCTCTTGCTGAGGCTGGTCTCTAACTGTGAGCTCAGGCAATCCACATGCCTCAGCCTCCCAGAGTGCTGAGATTACAGGAGTGAGCCACCATGCCCAGCCCCTCACTATTCTTTTTCATTATTTTATTTGTTTTCTTGGGCACTTATTTTCTCTTTAAATATTAAGAAACTTTCATCCATTTTCCTGGAATTCTATTATATTCATTTAAAAAAATACTTGCCTGATTATCTCATTTACACGCTTTTATAATAAAGCTTATTTTTGAGAATAGTTTTAGATTTATAGAAAAATTGGTAAGATGCTACAAAGAGTTTTCATGGATTCCTCATCTAGTTTTCCTACTATTGACATTTCACATTATTATTATACATATGTAACAATTAGTGGACCAATATCAATACATTAGTATTACCATAACTAAAATACATAATTTATTCTGAGTCCTCAGTTTTTACCTCCCTTTTTATGTTGTAGGATCTCATTTGATTTGCTTTTTACTTGAACATTTTAATGATATTTAATTTTTTCATCTAAGTACATGGATGTCTTTCCATTTGCTAAGATTTTAAAATTTAGCTTTCAGTATGATTTTATGGTTTTCTTCATACACTGTGACTTTTTCACTGTTATGTATAGAATATCTTTGCTATTTCTGTTTCTAGGTGCTTATGCTTGAATACAGAAAGCCCAATGACTTTTCTATATTTATTTATTTATTTTTTTAGTGGTTTTTTTTTTTTGGCCGGGGCTGGGTTTGAACCCTCCACCTCTGCCACCTCCGGTATATGGGACTGGCGCCTTACTCCTTTGAGCCATAGGCGCTGCCCTCTATATTTATCTTTTATCACAGTGTTTCATTATCAAATATCCTCATTAATTCTACTAGTTTTTTAAAAGACTGTACTAGGTTTCTTTTTTATTTTATTTATTTTTTTTTTATTAAATGATAGCTGTATACATTAATGCAAACATGGGGTACAGTGTAGTGTTTTCATATACATTTTGAAATACTTTCATTAAGCTGGTGCACATAAATTTCATGTCATTTGCATAGTCATTGGGTCAAAATATTTATATTCTAGTTCTAGAAAAGTTCACTTGTACCCTTGTTAGACAGAAATATAGGTCATCTTTCCGGTCACCCTCCCCCCACCTGTACTAGGTTTCTAAATACACATATAGTTATGCAATTGGCAAAAATAGCGTATCTTTTAGCATTTTATTCATTTACTAGACCCACCAAGCCAATGTTGAATAATAATAGCAGTAACAGATATCCTTGTTTGATTTCTGATTTTATTTGAAATAGTTTTACCATTTCACCAAGAAGAAAGAGGTTTGTTCTTGGTTTTAGGTAAACATACTTTATGACATTGAGCTGCTCTCTTGTATTCCTTCACTTAAGTCTTGACTGGTTACAATGCGTTATTCTTTTGAATTATTGCTGAGTATTGTTTGCCAGTATTTTATTTAGAACTTTTACACCTACATTTATAAGTGAGGTTGTGGTTTCATTGTATTTTTTTGGTGTATTTTTTTTGTTCATTAGATTTTTTCAAATTTATTGCCATAAATTTTATAATTTTAAAAGTCTCTTGTACATGTTCTTATATATCTTTTGTAAATACCTAATCTTATTTAATTTTATTTTCTCCTCCTTTTTTTCTTAATCAGGCACAGACAGAATTTAGTTTATTGGTATATATGTATTTTTTAAAAACCAGCATTTGAATTTATTGATCATTTCTACTTTGTTTTTGGATTTCCATTTTATTAATGTCATCTTTTATGTCTATTAATTTCCTCTTCTTTCTTCACCGTTGCTCCTTAAATCTTCAGCTTGAGTCCTAGTTGCCTTTATTTTCAGTCTTTTCAAGTTAATGATGAAGGTGATGAGGCATTTCCCCCTGAACACGGATTTTATTTTATTCTACAGCTTTAGGTTGAAAGTGTTCTTTTCATTGCTTTCTGGATAGTTTGCAATTTCATTTTTTATTTTCTGTTTGAACTAATACAGCAACTATTGGTATTCTGGGTACGTAGTTTTAAAATTCCCAGTGGTTACAGTTGGGCGGGGGGCAGCAGACCTTGCCGTGGC